TATTACCGTGTGGCAAATTCACTTTCTTAGACGTAACAGTGGCAAGATATTGATGCAGATTTACTTTCATATTTCCAACCTCGTCAGTTAGCTTTAGGCTAGTGATTTATTTCCAAGGATATTGTTTCATATTTGGTGTTCCGGCGTTAAACATTAGTTTTTTGAAGGGAATCTGCCACCAATCCTAAACAGCGAAATTTTCGGTTAACACGAAGAGTCAATTTTTACGCCTTCTAAAAGACGGATTTAATTCAGTGTACATTCATCACAAGTCTGGTAATTCGGCTGAGCCCTGGGACATTTTATCTGAGAGTGACTTTCCATCCTAAAATTCGGACATCTCTTTTCAGTTGAGGTTGTTATCTGAATAGAACGAGCAAGAGCCTCTAGGAGAGGTAAATCTGAGTATACCAGCAAATTTGTGCTTGTCGTCTGGTCAAATCTTTTAGCCCAGTGTTATGTAGGTTTGACGTGACGAAAAATTGCACACCATCAAATCATCACAGACTGCAGACGTGGCTCTAAAAGTATTGGCTCAGATTTCCTAATAAATCCTTCTCAGTCGCATGGGCACCCTTGCCTACTTGTGCTTTTCCAGCCTCCCGGTCGGCACTCATGCGATCCACCACTCTGGTGGATACTAAAATTTCTATGTTACTGAAATCTACTAAATCGTGAGGCTTCTATGTGTAGATCCAAGGAGAAGAGAGAGGTTCTTGATTTTAAGTGGGAGAGATTTTCTAAGACAAAAGAAGTCAAGATTCTCCATTAAATATCATCATGTAAAAAGTAGACGAAACATTAGTAAATATTTTTTGATATCCCCAAAGAAAGAGCGATATGGTCTCCAAGATCTTCCTAAGGCAGTAGGGTTTTTTCATTACTAGTCAGTAATAAAGCACTTTTATTGTATTTCCCTAATTAGACTTGAGAACAGGACATTCATCCCTAAGGTGTCTTCAAGTAACTTCAGTTACCCACTGGGTTGGGGAATTTCAGATTCTTGAAGCGTCAGCTCTACTCATGAATATTATAGTACATCCAGACTTTTAAATCCTTCATTTTATTGCTTCTACGGGGATCAAAATTCATTACCATGGTGGCTCTGGGCCCAAATTTTATACCGTGCACCGTGAGTGGATGCTTAATTTACGAACCTGCTAGTTGTAGAATGACTTGTAAGGATCTATTTTGAAAAGAGCTAGAATGGGAGCTTCCTTTATACTTCGTCTGAACCATGGAATCTTTATGCCGATTCCTATTAACGTAATTTTGCCTTCATTTAATTTGATTTCTCAATATTACTGCATGTCAGCTGATATGAGAGGTGTTTTGATAAGCACGAAAGTCGAAAAATACTGAATCACGAGACAGCCAGATTAAAAGTATTCTCCCGAGTAAATTATGCAATTTTACTTCTTCGTATGTGTCAGTAGATGGATAATTGTCTTCATTTGCCAAAATCTGTAGTAGAGGCGATTTTGAAGTAATAAAGAGTAGTGTGGTAAGGTGACAACCTCTAACAACTCGGACCATTGCCTTTTGTTAAGGGAATAGATTGTCTGGGTGTCTTCAAATCCCCAGATTTGTGCAATACTGAAGCCTTCTTCTTTTAAATGTATGGCGATATCTTAATTAGGACACGGTTTCAGGTGACAAAAAAACTATAGGGTCTTAATTGAAGTCATGATTGTTACGTGTAGTTAATATTGTACACAACCACTAAATTATGCCTTTCAGATGACCTGAGAGAGAATTTGACACCAACAGGCAGATACTGAACCCAAATCAGTTCTTTCAACATTTCCGCCATCACTATTTATGCACTTGCATTTGGCTACCAAAAATGCACTTAATTTGGTTTAACAGCCTTTCCCAGCCTCATCATGTAGTTAATGGTCCATTTTCTTACCACTTTCTGCTTGATATCAAAATTATTTCTCTACTTCCCTCTGATTTAATCCCTATTCCAATCGCTTCAGCAGTTCAGAGGAAAAAGGCGCTATCACAGATGCAGAGTAAACCGTGTCATCAGCTTACATACTTGCCCATTTTCCTTCGATGCTACAAATCACATCTTCTCTGTGCCACTTTGAGAGTTCTCCGGCACTTAACCATTCAGCATATCAAATCACATCAGAAGTCGTATTTAGTAAATTGAACAAAAATTGAGTTTTAAAACGGATTACCTCGTTTAAAGGGAGTCTATTAACCGGCTGTAGTAGAGTTGGTTTTAATGAACCATCGCTTGACCATTCGATCGGTAGCTAAAAGAGCTTATCAGCCTCACGTAGAGTTCAGAACATCCTGCAAAGATTAGCAAACATATGGGAATTGCAATCCGATCGAAATAATTACTTAAGGACTCGCTTTCAGATTGAAAAAGGGTAAGTTTTAATGTCCAACCTCTGTCTGAGGCTGCGGCAGCTCGTACGCATTCGGGAGCAAATACTGCTTAACCATACTGTCATTTCTGCTACGCCAGCTTAATCAATTTGAGTAAAATCTCTTCCAAAATTTGATTAATAATTAAAAAAGTTATAATGCAATGTAAGGCCTCAATGATACGCGAGGGTGCATAAAATACTTCACTTTATTTTTTTGCTTTTAATGAAGGCTCAAGTTGAAGAGACACACCCAAGCCGCTTTTTTACAAGAGCATAACCTGTCAGTTGGCACATCTTTGTATTAAGGAAAAATGCTCTTTTAACTGGCCTCTCGCACGTGATCAAGTTTTATCAGAACAGCAAGAGTAAATTCTGCGACACGTTGATTCTCGAAATTTGTGAATAGGAAGATGACTAGACGTAATGTGAAAAAGTCACCCAAATCTGGTGCTTCTGATATCTAATGGCACATGGGAGTGGCAACCCAGAGCGTCTAAATAGATACCATAAGTCTTTAAGTTGAATCCTTCGCTTGGTGTAGGGTTCGGATTTTTTTTGAGAGTCTTGCCACCCAGCGACCTGTGCTACGCGTTCGTAGGTGAGAGAGGCATGTCACTCCACTCGTGGTTGGCAGGCCATTTGCAATTGACTGCAATTACGTATGTAAATTTGAGCATTTTCCCTCCATTCCTTGCAAACGGAAATGTAAATTAACTGTAAATACCCTATATTTGAGCATCTACTTTTTAGTCGCATGTAAATTAGCCACGAACAGGCGCAGTGGCTCCTCGATAACGCTCATTCCTGTGCATTTTATTTATTTTCTGTCCATAACTGAAATTGTAGCCAAAATAATCAGTTGTCTCATCACAAAAAAAGTGCCTCCTAACTGTAGTTGGATATTGTTCTGGCGTGGTCTAAACTCGATTATGTAACAACTACGGTTTGTGTTATCGCATTGGAGGTCACAGGTCAACACAGTGAGCAACATGATTTTAAATCTGTTTGTGTTTTCTCTTCTCTTCTACAAGTCGTGTCACCAGCAGGACGTAGTTTGTCATTCTACTGACAAATGCACATTTTCAAGGAAGGTACAAGAGTTGAAACGTTATTCTGAAGGCTAACAGACGTGACCGCTCCTTGAACAGCTTGGGGGCAACCCATAATCTAGCTAACTTTTTGCCGAGTCTTTCAAGCTTATAATCAGCGGATTTTACCATCAATGTATTTCAAGGAGTGATAACAGACGAGAGAAACATGGATAGATCACCTTGTGGTGGATATCAGTGCAGGCTTTGTTGGCAGAGACCATAATAGTTTCAATTAATGAAAGTAAACATTGCTAAAATTGACTAATTACAGAGAAATTAACGCTTTTGCTACTCGGATTTTAACAGGAGCAATCTAATGATTGCCCCTGGTGCCTCCTTTTCTCTATAACTTTTTGTAAAGACCCCGAATGTTAGTAAAAGGCGAGAGGGGTGGAAAAATAATCTTTCTCAGCGATTAACCCCGTAAGATTCTTCCTAATAGCGGGAAGAACACTTGATGTTGAATTGTAGAACGTAATCATCCCTAGTAATCGAGTCAGCCATAACAAGCAAAAATTAGGTTGGCAACCAGCTTAGAGAAGGTCTGAAAGGCTATCATCATTGTTTACAAAACATCATGACCCTAGTATGGCTATTAAACTACGGAGAGACTAGAAAGCCGGCGTAGTTAAATAGGTAAGCAACATGTATATCATTCAGACGCACTGTATAGAGAACCGAAATGTTTGAATTAAAAGTTTTACTGAATATAGAAGCCATAACGTGTTTCAACACCATTTATTTGCCAAATGTATATTATTAGTGATCAGTGGCTGTCATCGAATAAGTCTACTCTTATTTTAGTAAATCGGAACTGAACGCATGCGGTTTCCGCCTGCAGCTACCGTGTAAATTGTCAGCAATCCAGTCAATAGAGTAAGGCAACGAAAGAACCTGTGAAACATTAACTTTGATTGCGTGCAAGTGTAGGTATCAGATGGCCAAACAAAAGCTAAGGTTACTGGCGCTACTCTACAATTCTGAGCCTTTCCTCATCAAGTTTCAATTCTGGACTGTTAATATTGCCTGTTTCATGAGCTAAGAATTAATTGAATGAGCCTTACCACTGGTACTTCACGCCCTTCTAATTGGAGTGGATGGGCGCGTTTGGCCCCGCCAGTACTGGTATGCAACTGCGCCACTTACGCGGCATGCTGGATAGCTGGATGACATTCACTCGTGTAGCACCCATGAATATGCATCTTTTAATAACTACGTCTTCCGTCTGCGTAAGCCAGAATATCCCGACCACCTCTCTCCTCCACTCTCCATCTCGAACTTGGCCGGAAATTAGCGTTAGTTATAAATAGCGTCATTTGGAGGGCATTCAATCAGCTCTTGAGTTAAGGACTTTTGATGCACCCTTTACTTGAAAAAATGTGCACTTTGTTAAAATCTTTGACTAATAATTTCTAACCAGAAGCATTACTCACAGACTATAGGATGTCAATGATCATTAAACATTACCATCATACACAACTTTTTTTAGTCCTCATACTCAGTATTTTATTTCAAACATTAAATGCAAATGTTTCCTGTGATTTCCAGTAAGGTTCAAAGGAGTCCAAAAATACATGTTTCTCTTTTTATCAATAAAAGTGTGATAACGGAACGGTTGAAATGCACACCCGCCAGTTAATCTTTCAATGCCTCAACTTCTTATTGAAGACATTGTGGGTAGTGTACTCAAAGTCCAATTCTTAGTGGCCGTAGTTTTCACTGTAAAGTCCATATATGCGGTGACAGCACTATGGGTTCACCAAATGAGTAAAGCAGGGACACGCAATTTCCCCTAGATGGTGGATGAGACACAGGAATTGTGAGGTGAGGGACTGTGGCTCATATGTGACGCGGTAATTACCGCACCACTGCCAACACCTGCGTGCGTGCGTGCGTGAGAAGGCGGGAGCATCGTGTCTGTTGCCAAGTCGGCCAAACGCTATTGGGGACGATGGTGGGACTGGTGTGCGTGGGCACACGCTCACGCCTGCACTCAACGGGCGTGGCGAGCTCCATGCGGGATGTTTGAGGACCACTGGAATGCGGCCTTAAAGGGAGCTAGAAAGCGCCATTAATGAATTACCAGTGGCAAAGCGCAGTCACTGGCATCACCTACGCACCTGCCTCCGAGTTCACTCTTGTCGCTCCCGCTCCCACCTCCTTCTCCTCCTCCAAATACAACGCCTTCTTGGCAAAGTGGATTTCAATTAAAGCTGCACTATACTAACAAAACAGTTCCGAAGATCAGCTTACACATTTTAGCCACTACCGTTTCAATGAACATTCATTTTCCATTCGTAAATTCAAACTTAAAAAACTTTAGTTCTCCTTATTTCAGTAATTTGCTGCACATATTGTGATTCCGTGGATAATTTAAATGTACTAAATGGATTACTAAAGCTTAACAAGTTTTTTGTCTGTGAACCTAACCATCTATTGGGATTATGGAATTCTATACTTTATAAAAGTAGGCAATTTAGTGAGTTGATAATGGCTTTCTTTTAGCTGTTGTAGTTCCTGCCAAAATTATTGCGAAAGTGGCCAGAGTAGTTAGCTGCCTTGTAATCACGTTTAATGGCCAATTCCGGTCAATTAGTGCCACCGGAAACACTCATGAAGTGGGCATCATGTAGTAAAGGTCTCACTCCAACTGGCGTGCTGGAAGAGGAAGCTTTTTTGGTACAACCTTGTTTAACTCATTTGAGAGGATCTCGCACATTTCTCGACTTTTATCCGCAATATAGACGAAAATTCCGAGCAGCCATCCGCGACAGTTCTACCTCACACCTGGACACACTACGACCAATCTCTTCGCCTTCAGTAATCGGCCTATAATTCAGTTTGCCACCTTTTCATTTACTGAAGTAGAATTGCAAGCCATTTCATCAGTTTACTCAAACGTTTGAATCCTCTTCCACAGACTTGATCCAAAATTCGAACAGCTCAACATCTACGAATGGAGGAGAGTCAGGTACACAAATTACAATTCAGGAAAGAGAAGGAAAGACGATTGATCTTAAATGTTGTAGGGATAACCTCAGTATCAACTTCTATTAATCAGAACAATGCGATATACCACCATGATTTCTGGTGAAAGTTATGCGCTAGAATCATGGTGATATCGCGGTTCACTTGTATGGAATCACTAATTTAATTGAGAATGCGCCCTCTTCTAACCAGCTCTTAACCATAATGTTTCACACTCAGTGGATGAGTTAATTTGCTTCTGATGACCTCCATTTAATTTATCCAGTCAAAGTTGAATTATTTAAATGGCTTAAACACTGAAATAGGAGATAAAAGTCACTTTGTTATTATTTTTAGCAAAGTGGACAGGACAACACTTTACACAGAGGCAATAAGACCTTTAAATTAAAGAAACTTAAAAAGTTGGGTAAAATGCATTATTTTTGGAAACCAGTTAGTTGCTTTAGAAACTTTACTTTAGCTCTTTGTCTCTCGCATTCGACAAGAGAAAAACAGATTAAAGCAATTGATATATAGCTTTTGAGGTGCAGTTTGAGCTCATGAATAATTTAAGTGCTGCTTCAGTTGTATTTGGGCGGCTGAGAGGCTCAGATCTAATAAATGAGATTGAAGGGGAGACGACGTGGAGTGGGGGGAGGGCGGAGTGGATTGGTGACTCTGGTTTAACCGTAATGGTTCCTTGATTCATTTATTTAAGCTGAATTGAAGCTGTGAACATTTAAGAAGTATGACTTTAATTAAAGTCTATTAATGAGGGCAATGTCATTTGATGGCTGTTTTTGTCTGTCATTATTTTGCATAGCTTGGGAAAAAACTGTCATTTCGAGGGAGCAGTCTCTGCGGCTAAAATCCACGATACCGATTTGTGCAGATAATGAGCATACGTAATGGAAAAAATAACGAAAAGAAGGGCTTTACAGTAAAAATGTAAAATGGCGCAAAACAAATCTTAGCATGATATTATTGAAGGATATTAATTGGAGGTTGATGAGAAACTCAGAAGTACACATATAAAATTTATTTCAAATGATGTATAGTGTGGGTACCTATCCATCAGATCACATGGCATGGCAGGCAGCTTAATTCACTACTAAACTTGAAAGTACACTCCTGTCAAATAGTTGAAGATGTTACAGTACCATGAGGGCGGCTTGCCTTCCCCTTAGTCCTTTAGGCGCCAATTTACTAATTGTAGCTTCTAAAACATGTAAGAAAACATACTTTTTACTAATGTTTGTTTAAGTAGACTTTAAACACCAATGCAGAAAAATAGTTTACCATCCCGTGTCAAAATGCTAGTGGACTAGCCTAAATCATGACTTCACTCGCATGACTATCGCAAGTTCCATCGCCAAAACATGTTTCTATTATGCTCGGGATAAGCGCTGTTTATTTAGAGAGAACTCACCATTTGCGTGCAGCCGCACTAGCTGAATCCTAAGGGAGTTGAAGCCTTAAATGTTTGGAAAACAAGATAATAGATATTTCATCAGGCTTGACGAATGTGGGAAAGATGCTACAAAATTTTCGGCCATTCTTTGTATTTAGAAGAATCCTGGAAGCAAATAAACGGCACTTCTTTGCATTTCAGTGCCAATTCATAATAAATACTTTGTTAAATTCATGCATGTTTAAAATGGGAGAATTGAATAAATTACTGTGGCAGAGTTTTATCGACCAAATGAGGTATTAAACGCAAAAAGCGTGTAAAACACGACATTTGACTGCCTAGTGTGAGCATACTGGGAAGAATTTCACTATCTAAAGGAGCTGACAGAAATATGAACAAGTAATTACGAGCAATGCTTAACCCAACTTCATGTAAGCCATCTAAAACGTCTTGGGGACAGTGGAAGACAATACTCGGGCAGAATGTGTATCGTTGACGCACAGTAGGGCTTGGGACTGCTGGCATGGCCAGTTGGCCAGGTCACCTGGCGGAGTCTCCAAGACTTAAACAAAAAACTAACTTATTGCCTAGCCTCCGCCCCCTTCCCCATTTGAATGTTGTCCTCAATGAGACCCTTGATCAACATCCCTCGTCAGCTATCGCAACGTAATGAGTGCAGTCAGAAGAACAACTACGAACTGACCATGCCAGCTATCGAATTTGTGTGCGATGAAGAAAATGTTTGACCTCAACGTCAGCGATTCCTCCTGGCAATTCTACTGAACCTGGAGTTTCATCCCATACAGCAGCTGGATTCGGGGACGAGAGAATGTGTTGACCGTCAAGCGAGTCCACCGGTAGTTATAGGAATACTAACCAAAAAGCAGCATTAAATAGCAAAGGATGGGATTCAGCATAGTTTTGTGGGGGTAGAGTTTCGCGTCTCTTCCTCCTTGCCACGTTATTTTTGTTTTATAGCTGTACAGCCATATCAATTTTGGTTGTATTCAGCTGGTAGGTAAGTGGAGGAGGTATCACATGCTCACTTGATTGATATCTTCAAGCAGGTACCGTTGGCGACTCCCTACTAAGCTTTTCAAAATGGTTCATGGATAGTGTTAATTTAGTTGTTAGTAGCTTTCAAGCATAACAGGGGCCTGGGGTAGTTGGCGGTGACAGACGCCATTTTCAGCCCCTCTGTTGAGAGTCGTTATAGCAAGTTTACTTTTCCGCTCAGCTAATAATAAGGATAGTTGTCTTCTATGATTGGGTTTGCTTTCCACTTCTACCAATGTAGTGCCCTAAGGCTTCTCTAAAGACGAAAGAAGACAATACTCGGGCAGAATATGTATTGTTGAAGTACTGAAGGACTAGGGGAGTGGGAGAAGACGATCTACTGGCATTGTCTGGAGGCCATGAGGCCCTGCAAAGGTGCAATGGCGGGGCTCCTTTACCAGAACCGAAAGTTAAACCAACAGTGAAGTATTACATCTTCTAATTAATGATTTGTTTAGAATTCAAAGAAAATTAGTTTTCACCATTGAGTTTAGTTGGTACGATAATTCAGCTTTAGACAGAATCAGAATTTTGGAATTTGAATTTACGAACTGACGTTGGATCCACCCTTCTGATACGGTGTCTCGAGTTCTTTACGGCTCTTAGTCATTATCCTAAAAATCATGTACCTTGCTCAAAGTCGGAATGTTTACTTGTCATGATACTAATTCCCTTCATAGCCTTAGCAATGGTCTGGAGATATTATTTGAATGTTAAAATACATGGTGTGAATAATAAAAGATAAGTACTTAAGAACTTAATTTCAAATGCAAAAGACGGGATCGAAAAGAGGGATTTGAACCGATGGTTGCAAGCATTCTCTCCAAAGTATTTCAAAGCCTATTGACAAACCCTTCCCGGTGTTCTTACATTCTCGCAATGCTGATATGAAAGCAAAGTAGGTTGCTATTCTCACCTCTATTTACAACGATAACCCATACCCTTTTAACATAACATTGTGCAATTTAGATGGAGGAAGAATTAGGTAGCAGCATTCTTTGACCTGACTAATGTAGTGTAAACGAAGGGGTTTGCCATTGACAGAGGGGTGTGGAGTAGTGCAAATCAAGAGCTCTTTCACTCAAGCGGAAATTGGTTTGTATATTGTGCCGCCAGACCTTCACTGTGCTACAGGCTTGAGTGGGAACACACGCCGACCGACGACACAGATTCAATGACGTACAACTGATGAGTCACCCAGTTGGAGAGAAAGAGGGAGGAGGTAACAGAGAAGGCGAGTCAACAGCATGCCACTACGCGAGTAGACGCCGTGAGCCTGCGTTCTCTTTGGCGCAAGGTCCCGTGACGGTTCAAACAAAGGTGGATGCTGCTAGCAGTCAGCTTTCTTAGTCCGCTTAGATATAGCGTGATGCGCTGATGGGGTGATTGTCTTGGACACTACAACTCCAGTCTAATCCAGCACATACCGTGAAAGGTCGTAGTTGTACCGAATTTAAAGTTTTATGAAACAGCTGTTGTCTAAGTACTAATTATGGACGAATGCTTTGCCTACAATGCATTTAAGGACCTCGTAAATCTTACTAATGAAAGCGATTCTGCAGGGACAAGTGAAACAGAATTTCGCCTGAAAGATATGACAAAGGAGTATTTGGAGCTATTTGGACTTGATGTCACCGGATAATCAGACTTTCAGTTGACCGTTGGTTTACACTGACAAGGTGGTCATTTTCACCAAATCTCCTGGTTTGGGTTACCCACAAATATAAAACAGCCTTGGAAACAAGGTTATAGCTCTAATCAGTCAAGTTGCTATCATTTTGTGGTTTGTCTGACAAAAGTTCCACAGATCATTTAATGAAAAAGTAGAAATACAATTGTCTGAGCACGTTAAGCTTTTTAATTTAGTAGCTTTTCATTTTTCTGCATATGTACGTAAGGTGTAAACAATTTCTTAATTCGCTTTTAATAGAAGATGAGCCAGCCGAGATTGGAATATTGAGGAGAGGTGAGTTTATTTGTACATCATATTGTACATCGTATACAAATAAACGAGTTCCTTTAAAATTTAATCAGCATGTTAGCAGCCACCGACTCGCATGTGAAGCTCAGATTTCCTTTTGTGAGTTCGAGGTATCAAGAATACGGATCACAGTAAATGTTGACTACCCGATTGTAAAACAAACAGATCAGTTGGGCTTAAAACGATGCCACAGGCATAATTTGTTCGTTGTCTGAGGAGGTGATATACACTTTTATGCTTAAAAGTAAAACAAAATGGGAGGAAAAAGGTGACCATTGCAACTGCTGAAGTCGCGTACGAAGGCATCTGTGCAGAGAATATCAACTTTACATATATTTGAGGAACAGACTGGTTCTTCCACACGGCATTATTTCCGTACAATGTTTTTTATAGCTAGTTCAATTTACGGAAATGTGGAATTGCCTTTTTCCAACAGGCAAATTAAATAATGAGTTGTTCTTTCAAATGCAATTTGTCCCACCCTTTTTAAGGTATTAATAGCGCAAAACTGAGATGATACCGTTGGCATTCTAACAGTAGGCATTTCTCTCAGCCGTGGACTAAATTTTTATTCTGCCTTTTTTTACAATGGAACTTTATTCCAGCATTGGTGAGCAGTAAATAGGATGTTTGAACACACGATTTCAATGCTACTAGCCGTTATGAGGTTGCTTAATCCACGATTCGGCACACACGTCGTAAACTTTATCCTTTTGTATCCAGTTGTGAGAAAATCCTCAAAATTTGTCTCTCTGTGAACCGGAGAAGGGAAATACCCTAAGGAGCATTAACTATGGTGAATTTTAGATTTTGGTGAGAACGAAATGGCAAGGAGAAATGAACGCGAAACCTTATCCTCACGATGCTTTGTTATATGACTCTGCTTTTGGGCCAGTGTTTCTACGACTAGCAATGGACATACTGGATAACCGGCATATTCCCCTTTTCACAATACAGTTTCCAAACAGGACAAAACCGCCGATCCAGTTGAATTGACAGGAAGATCGGCGACGTTGTGGTCAGACACCTTCTCACTAGAATGCAAATTCGATGACTGTGGCTGTTGGTTCGTGACTGTTTCACTCTCAC